AATGACAGTTACTTTGCCAACAAATCATTTTAATAATTTTGAGATGGAAGAACTATTTCTAAGCATGATATGCAAAGACAAAAACCCACAAACAAAAAGACTGACAGATTTGGCTAAATAAAAATGTAAAAATTTTGAATGGCAAAATATTTTTTAAAACATAAATACAAGCAACACAACTAGGGAAACCCTCAATAGCATATAACAAAGGATTAACTGTGCATAACATACAGAATTTCAACACATTGAAAGAAACATATAAACAAGTAAAAGACAGGAAAAGCTTAGTGACAGAATAAAGACAACAAAGAGTTAATGGTACTTGGTCACATCTGTAATAGCGTCCTGGGGCATTGTAACAACATATTACAAACTAAGTGGCCTTATCAACAGAAATTTGTTATCTCACAGTTTCAAATGGTAGAAGTTCTAGACCAGGTGTCCTATCCACGGGCCACGTGCTGATTTTGTGAGGACTCTTTTTGCTTATTTGTCTTATCGGTGGTGTCGGATATCACGAAAAGTATGAATGGGCCTTTTTTCCTCATCAGCCTTTGTTAGTGTTCGTGTATTTAATGTGTAGCTCAACGCCCCTGTTCTTGCAATGTGCGGCAGAGGAAAATAAAGGTTGGACACCCAGATCAAGATGTCTGGCCAGGCTGGTTCCTTCCGAGGGCTGGGAAGGAGAACCGTCTGTCCTGTAGCTCCTGGGGGTTTAGTGGCCACCTTTGGGACTCTTTGACTTGTAGAAGCACCACCATGATCTCTGCCTTCGTGTTTGACGGTGTTCTCAACGTGTTCACATCTATCTCTGCTTCTAAATTTGCCCTTTTCATAAGAACACCTGTCATATTGGGTTAGAGTCTAACTTCATGAACTTATTTTAACTTGGTTATCTCTGTCAGGATGCTCTTTCCAAATAAGGTCACATTATAAGGTATTGAAGGTTAGCACTTCCACATTGGGGTGGGACATAATTCAACCCCTAACAACATCTGCCAAGATAAACAATAGTATTGAATATTGGAAACTGTATAGAAACAGCACTGTTATACACAGCTCACGGATTATAATTTGGCATAAAGTATTAAAAAGTCATTTGGTAGTGTCTGTCAGAATTGTCTGTTTTGAATCTGAATAGCCTTTTCTCCAACAATTTCAACTTTATGAAATCTGAAGTAAGCAAAGTCGGGCAGCACCTGTGGCTCAAAGGAGTAGGGTGCTGGCCCCATATGCCGAAGGTGGCCGGTTCAAACCCAGCCCCAGCCCAAAACTGCAAAATAAATAAATAAATAAAGTAAGCAAAGTCAGCAAAGTCAGTGTAAAAAAATTTATATATATAGAAACTTTGAGGATAAGATTTTCAAGGCTCAGAGTAGGGAAGACTCCCAGGAAGGGTAATAGAAATGTCAGCAAGATCAGTTGGGAATCTTCTGAAGTTCTGGGGAAATTTGCCTCTTCCCCAGTGGGTGCCAAACAGAAGAGAAAAACATCTCAAGGCGGGAGCCAGGGAGAAGGGTGGGAGAGAGAAAGTCTGCAAAGACAGAGCTGACCAGGATGCTGGGGGTGTCTGTGGGGCACAGAGAGCCCGGCCAGCAGTGTCAGTGGGATGCATTCTGCTCTCACACCCAGCACCTTCCAGGCTCCCAGCCTTGAGAGAAATTTCTGGGCAACCCTGATGATTGGCCGTCAAAAAACCAAAGAGTGCCCCAGGGCTGTGCAGGGCTGGGCAGGCTGTGCATGTGACTCCAGACTGTCCTTTCCATCACTCCTTGTCTGTCTCTACACAGAATTCTCAGTGGGCTCTTAACCATGTTGGGAAAGGGCAATAAGAAGGAACAAGGAGAAAATTCTCAAGGATGGAGTAGTGAAGGGCAGCTCAGAGGAGGAAAAGAAAGCAAGCTAGAGGAGCCCCTGGTGGGAGACAGAACAGCCCAGGGAAGCCCTGCCTGGGGCTGTGAAGTGCCCTGGGGCCGCAGGCAAGAGCCCTGCTTGGTGTCTCCTGGCTGAGGTGTGGGGATTTCCAGTTTGCTGACAGGCAGATTTCATAAGAAAATGGATATAAAAGTTTGCGACTTTTCTGGGCTTAAGTAGAAGGCCTCCAGGCTGTCTTATCTTGTGGTCTTATGCAGTGGTTAAGGAGCTGCCTCGGTTCCAATCCCATTCCGCCTCTGCCTGGCTGTATAATTTCTAGAGTGTGCCTACTCTTTAATAATGACCCCTCTAGACTTGATGTGTGATTGCCTGAATCACCCTTTAGGATGGAGGGGCAAACTGCTCTATCTCTCTGTGGCTGCTTCCCCTTCATGTAATCTTCTGAGCAAGACTTGACTTAGGCTGCCAAATTTAGCAAATAAAAACATCCAATTAAATTTGAATGCCAGATAGGCAATGAACATTGCTTAGTATAAGTATGCCCTGTGCAATATTTGAGATATTTATACTAAACAAATTATTCTTTTTTTGAGAGAGAGAGAGGGAGTCTTGCTCTGTCACCCTAGGTAGAGTGCCATGGGGTCAGCATACCTCACAACAACCTCAAACTCTTGGGCTCAGGCGATCCTCTTGCCTTAGCCTCCCCAGGAGCTGAGACTATAAGCACCCGTCACAACCCCTGGCTGGTTATTTACTTATTTATTTATTTTAAAATCATTGATTATTTATCTCAGATTCAAATTTTACTGGGCATCCTGTAGTTTCTCTGGCAACTTGATACTTGATCCTAACTGCCTAGAGCAAGCCCTGCACGCGGGAGCTAGAACGCTATGATGTGATTCAGGCATTTTCTGTTGTTGTGCTTTTGCAGGAACTTTTTCAAAAAGCAAAAAACTTCAAAGAATAAAACATGTGACAGTTGCAGCAAAAGACGTAACAGGAGCTGGTCTCATGTAAATATTATGTTAATTAAAGCAGATGGGTCTGGAGCATAAACAAAGTGATGCAGGGGGCTGGTTTGTGTTCCGGCTGGGTTTCTTATTATAGTAACTCAGTTCCCATCCTGTTAGCACTCTTCCCTTATCAAACACTGAACTGGGGTATAAGGAAGTTTAAATTACCCGTGATTGGAGATCTGTTTTTTAAACACTTGAAGCAGATGGTTTATTGCCTGAAAAGCATCCTTCCTTTTGGAGAATAGAGAATTGAGCTTGGTTATTTCAGGAAAATGTTTCATCGCAGCTCGTTTTTTAACATCGGGATTGCCACGGTGATGAACGCTGCAGTAGGCAGAATTTGCCTACTGAGCAAAGATCTCATTTCTAATGCTGCCAGCTTGCATCTCAGGCTCAGCATTGAGCAAAAGCCTAGTTAGTCCTCGTAGAACTACTCACAGCTGTTGAGAAAGAGCCAATATCTGCAGAAGATTTTTTAAAAATGAATGTCATTTGACAGTCTACAATGGATAAGTTTGGACACTACCATCCAAGCAGTAGGGAGTTTAACAAAAAGAGAATGTGCTTGTTGCCTATTTGGGGATGAAGGGGCATCTAGCATCCAAATTCAGGATCATCTCCTGCATTTAGTTGTCACATCTCTTTAACCTATAACAGTTCCTTAATTTTTCTTTGCCTTCCATTGACTTTTTATTTAACGGGTACAGTCCGTTTTACAGAATGTTCTTCAAATAGATTCATCTGATGTTCCCTTTTGATTGGTAAGGTCGTGTTACACATTTCATCAGGGATACTATTATCATAAAGGGTCAGAACTAGATTTTCTAACACCCTCCCACACCGTGCAAGAAAGTTGGTGTTCTGTTGGTGAAAATTTTCTACCAAATCCTGACTTGACAGTGATGCTTCAAGTCTCCCATCAAAGAATCTTAGTCTGAACTGAGTGGCCTAAATTTTTATAAGATTCTCACAATCATACTGGAGAGTGAAAATAGATTGAGGTGCCCATGTATTTCTGGGCTTTCTTCTGGAGATGAGATGAGCCACTTTAGGTCTGTGTGAACAGTCTGAGCAAGGTTAAGAGAGGGCAGGAACTGTTTCTTGTAACCTGACAGTTTGGGAGAGTGAGTTGGAAGATAATCACATAATCCATTTATAACCACCCAAGTTAACAAGCTCTCACCTTCTCCAAATAGGCCCCTCATTTACAAATAGTCACTTCTGTGCAAAAGTGGACTTTCATCTGTGTGACCAGAGTCACATGACATTATGTTCCCACAATTCCACAAAAATCCATTCACTTAGGAGCACTATTAGAACTTGTAACATATTGTTAAATGCATAATATGAGCTTTGAAAATATTTTTTTCTCTTACTTTTTAAACAAACTACCCACCACCACCACCACCACCCCAGAATAACTTGCAGTCATGGGTCTGCCCAGTGCTGTGTCAGGAGAGAAGAAACCCCAGAACAAGGCGTCTGGCACATCCCAGCCATGCCACATATGGAGAGCAGTTCTAGACCCAGCACCATGAGAGGCATCATAAATGAAAGTATGTATTGGAGAGAATGGAGAGGTTACTAAAGAATTCAAATTCAAGTTACGAGAATGGCTTTTCAGGTCTCCTAACCCAGCCCTGGGCTAAGGCCGATTGTCTGATGGAAAGAATTTTATGCTACCTAGTGCTCTCCCAATGCCCTTCAAATCCCATGTTCTGCCATAAGAATGAACTTCCTTTCAGAACAGTTATCAGGGTCTGTCTGCTAACCAAGACTGCTGCCCCTAACCTCCTTCATCTAGAATGCAAAGAAAAAATATTGTCCAGTTATTGACAATGAAGAGCCATTTTGATTTTCTACATGTGGAATTCACACCAAGTCATATGAAATGGGAGAACTGTATAACAACCAAATCCCACTCTCCAGTGAGATCGCTTAGAAGCTCAAAACAACTTACTGTTGCTTCAGGCCACTCAAGTCAGTTTTTATTCCATCTAGATATACTGTGAAGCAGAAACATTAAAAAGAGAGAGAGAGAGATGAAAAAGGATTTCATCTCAAGGAAAAATAAGTTGCAAACAATTTTCACCAAAATAATTTTTCCATTTTATTTAACAAGACAGTTTTGAATGTACATATTTAGCTTATGAACACAGGGTAAAACTATTTCCACCTTCCTTTTATTCCTGTAATCACTACATTGATTTGGTGAAGAAAGAACAGGTTTTACCCAAGAACATGAACATGCTTCAGCTGATTTGGTGTGTCCATGGTGAGTGGATTTTCCACGTCCATGGATAATTGTCAGGTGGGCATAGTGGTCACCTCACCACTATTGGGAGCGGGGCTCACAAAACCAGTGTTTGAGTGTGATAGAAACATGTGGGTCACAACAAACAGTCATTCCTTGATGGGGTTATTATCTTCTGAACACAAGTCCACATGCAGAAAGACCTTTGTATGCTGTGATGGTACTGTGCTATCTACTTTCCTTCCATGTAATACATGAACTCAAATGTCCTTTTTTAGGAGCAAAAATGCAGAGTCAGAGTAGCATTTCCTCTTTGGCCACATGTGAGCTTGCAGACCGACAAAGACCTACAACCCACAATGACTCTGAAAAGATCTACCATCCTTAAAAAGAGCAGCGTCCCTTCTGTGTTCGAAACAAATCGCAGATAGTTTTTGCCAAAACTCTGCTGTGCTTTATGGTTTGTTGAAAATTCAGTAAGAAGTAATATGTAACATTCCTTTATGTGACAATATCTTTTACATGAAGAATATCAATCCTAAATAATACTAAAACATTTCATAATCATTCTGGAAAAGGTTTTTATCATTAATTTCCCAAACCAAGAATTATTCAACAGGAATAAATTAGGCACTTTGAGGCTGACTCTTCTGCTAATCATAATTTAACATTTTTTACATTTATAGGGTAGTTAGACCAGAAACAAACAGTTTTGTCAAATTTGAGTCTCTGATTTGGTGGGTTGGTGAAGGCCATAGGGGACGGGCTTGCTTTGAGATGAAAACTGTGAATTCCATACTGCATCTGTTCACTGAGTAGCACTCATGTCCCCTCATAGCCTGACAATATTTGCCTCTTCTATAAACTGACAGTGTCACTTCATGGAACGTCGTGACGATTCATGGGTTAAATATTTTCAGGAACATCAACACTTCAATTAAAACTCTGCTATTTACAAATCAGTACATATACTCAGGGGCTCACAGCATGCCTACAAGACACAAATATACAAAATTATGGCAAGCTTATGGCAGACTCCTTAGAGTAACAGAACATTTTGATGCAAAAAGAGAGGGGGCTGAAAATACAGACTACATATTGTAAGTGAGCTGTACTCTAAGGAAAGATTCTATTTGAAAAGCCCAGAAGACGACCCTGTCCAAGAGGGAAGCAAAGACATAAAAATAAACTATTTGGTATTCTACATTATATTACAAAAATAAATACATCAATCAATAAATAGTAGGAAGCTTAGAAATGTTTACATGAATATTTAGGTTGTTGGCTGCCCAAGTCCTTCTGCGACAATTTTCCTCGAGGGTCATTTAGGTTTATCAACTTCAATGATGATAATTCTGCCATAAAAAGAAGATGAGTGCAGAACATAGCTGAAGGTCTATGGCCAGAGAAGACATGAGTAAGTTCCACTTTTCTAAAGACCTGACAATTGTATAGCTTCCTATCAAGGCAGTGAAGTGGAAGTGGTGCAGGCATGCAGCCAGGGGCATGGGGAACAAGAACTCTCCTGCTGGTTATGTCTTTTCACTTTTTGATAAGAAGAAAAGAAAAGAAAAAGAAAAAATACAACTACTGACCATTTCAATGACCAATATGTGGCTTTCTGCACTCCTTTCCCTAAGAAGAAAAAGATCATAGAAATGTGGTTTACATTGTGGACGGGTAACAGAGAAACATCTGTAACAGCTAGATTCAGCCTAACATCCCTTTGACAGATAAGTGATTGTAAGTGTTTGAGACAAGGTTTCTCCAAGCAGGCTGGGAAAGCCAGCAGCATGCACAGTGGAAAGCCAGAGCTGGCACGTCTTTAGCGACTAATGTCAGTGCGCTACTGTCAGCAGTGTGCTGGAGCTTGTAGGTGGCTCCTGAGAGCTGACTAAGTTTTCAGGACTCTTGCAAGCCATTTGGCATCACGTTGGAAGCTTGAAATAGACATTTACATCCTTGAAATCCACAAATCAGGGCTTTTTCCCCACCCCAAGTTGCTGGTTGTAAGGTGTTGACCAGCACACCACTCTCTTATATATTTTAAACACAAAGAAAAATTTGATCTAGCCAGAGCTATCCTGGTCAGCTTGAGGTCTTACTTTATATCCTTTAAGAATGGTAAAACAAGAAGTACCATGGAGTCTGTGAGTACACACTGAGTACCATGGAGTATAAAGGATGCACCACATTCCAGTGAAGATACTGAGCATGGCCATCCACAACCAGCCACACCGACACAGATGCCCTCAGCAGTCACAGACATCATGTTAATTGGAGGCCCTTCCACAAATGAGTGTTCTGAGTTGCCTGGCCTTCTCAAATGATCGATCATTGTTTACCCACTGATGATCAAAATATGACTCTACCATGAGCAACAAGTTCCCTAGGATTTTACCTCTGGACACCAGGGAATAATAAATTTATGGAGCCAAGGTCCAAACTGGACAATAAGTCTTCAAAATAGCTTTCCCTGGCTCCATCGTCTAGTGCAATATGAGTTTATAGCCTTAAGTGGTTCTTAAAAGGAGGCTGATAGTTTCCCAGACTTCTTAAGGAAGCTTTCCTAAGGTAAGTGGGGTGAGTGGGGACAATGTACTGAAACTCACAATCCCAAGTCCAGTGTGAGCCACCCACCCATGTTGCTGCCTGCAGACGCCAGAGAGGTTTGGGAACTTCTCCGCTCTGGCTCCTCCTATACAAACCTGGGATGTGTTTGGGGAAGCATGTAGGGGTTAGCCTGCAGCCATGCTCAATATGTCCTTCTGCCCTGCCACCTGCTGGGCAGACCCACCAGTCTGTTCCCGGCAGGAACATTTCCCAGCCCCCCAGTCCTAGCCAGTTGCAAAATAGGAAGATGCAAAATGAGAAGATGGGAAGGTTACTGGGTTTCCACCATGGAGCAAACCTGATTTCAAAATTCAGGCTTACCTCTCAAGTCATTTGCTCAGTGTCTTTTCATTCCTTCACTTGTTTAAATGGGACTGTTTCTTTTTTTCTAATACTTAAGTGTTTTTCATGAACAAAATATTTCATAAAGGATATCATTAAAATAAAATCAAATTCAATATCTGGAGAAAATTTTAAAAGTAGAACACTAACTCCTTTTACCCTAAGAACACATGCTTTAGGAGTCTTTTTGTAGCCCAGAGTATGAGCTACGAGGGCCGAGGAAGACAGGGGCCACAGGAATGGGAGGAGAAGGTGAGGTGCCAGGACAAAGAAGGAAGAGGGAAGGAAGAAGATGGAGAAGAGTAAGACGGACGTGAGGAGGCAGAGGAAAAGACTAACGAGTGAAGAAAAGTACTAAGAGGGGAAGAGCCCAACAAACAGGTCCCTGCTGCCTTTCCTCTTCTTGGATTTTGGTATTTTATTTTATTTTGTCCCCATGATTTAATTCTCCATTTAGCACTGCTTCTGATTTTACAGATACATCTGGGGACAGCATCTGTGTCCTTTCCCTTTCTCTCCTTTGAGAACCCTGCCATCCCTCCACCCCCACAGCAGTTACAGGGGACAGTTTTGCTATCCTATTGTCTCGGGAACACCTCACATCCTAAAGTCCGTCCTGCTTTCCTGTCCTGACCAGGCACTGCCCTCTGTCTCCCATGGGTTCATTCTTTGCTGTTTATTGTTCATCCTTTACCTCTAAGGACTTTTGAAGCCATTTGGCTTCAGCATTGAATAACCCTTCCCTTGAAGCGACCTTTACCAGGTCCTGCTGCTCTGAGCAATGGCAAACTCAAGTGACAAAAGCTACACTTACATTCCAGAAGGTTTAAAGTCTTGATGCAAATTATCTGGTCATAAATCCTACTCAGAAGAGGTGACTGAGAACACACCGTTGGTCTTTAACACATGCACACTGAGTGAGTCATGTATGTATGTGAATATAATCCTTCCCTAAAGAACCAAAGATTTGCTTAAGTTTGTGTGTGTGTACATACATAAACATAATACGTGTCTTCTGACACTGCATTTTGCTTAGGGGTTGTTGTTTCCAAAAGGACATGGAATTGGAATTGCCAGGAAATGGCAAGAACAAAGAGAAACAGATTGGAAGGGACCTGAGCAGATAGCAAAATATCTATTTCCTATAAGAAACCAACTTGTCCATTTCCCTACGGCAGCTAGCCTGTACTGTCTGTACACCCTTATTAAATAATCTCATTAAATAGGAACACCAAATATACACATTTACAAGTATTAAATAAGCCACAGGACTCCTATCTACAGCCACATTCAGAGACAGCCATGCCTTCGTATTTAAACTTGTAGGTGACAACACCTTTGTCTAAATAGAGGATGGAGATGGGCTCTAGTTTTGTGGGCACACAACAGGCTTTGGAAGCCTTCTGGGAATTCTTGAGGTGGACCAAGGCCTGGATAATTGCATGCTTCGTGGGTGTGAGGTGTTCTGCCAGGGGATAGTTGCAAACACCACGGCACTCGTAGGCTTCATATCCGGGTGGAGCGATGATCCAGGAGTCCCACCCAATCTCCTTGAAGTCGATGTAGAGTGGGGTCCTCTTGCAGTAGTTTCCTTTGGCGTTCCTTCTGATGCGGGCTGTGGAGTCATAGATGATGTTTGACCTCATCTGCAACAAAGCCTCTTCCCCAGGTCCACTGGAAAAGCCATCCAGGCCCAGGTTGTCCAGCTCCGGAAGTTGTTCATGGGCAATCATTTCATTCAACTCCTCTTTCCGCTCCTTTTCAGTGCTCTGGTCATCAGAAAACACAATGAGCAAAGGGTTATGTTTATTCTGGGCGCTAGTGTCTATTTCCAGCCGTCCCCTGCTGGTGTCCTCGGCTTCATCGCGTCTGCTCTCAATCTGGACCTCCAGCTGGTGGGTGGATGAGCCTGACTTTTGCCAACGTCTGACAGCATCTGTGATGTCAAAAGCTTCCCACTCACTATTGGTCCCATAGATCTCCCCTGACACTAAGACCAGCATGTTTCTTTCGCCCTCGTCCCCTCTGCTCTCCAGTACTTCAAAAATGGTAATTTTCCGGTCCACGCCATCGTACATCATGCGATCTCTTTGCACCAGTGTATACAGCCTAAGTTCAGCCATGACGACCTCTTCATGGTGAGGGATGGACACGTTGAAGAGGAGAGGGTATTTTCGGAGCCCATTAAAACTGGCTGGTTGGGAAAACAGATCTGGAAAAACAAAATTTGGCAAGGTCGTATTTGCAGTATGACTCAGAGAAAAACAGATGCTTATTTATGTAACAAGGGGGCCTGTCTATGCAGAAAGCTTAATGCAGAGAGAATAAGGGCAGAGGATCAGTGAAAACACACACAATGTCAGCATTCCGTGACTCAGAAAACCCTGAAAGGCCAATGGTAGAATACCCAACTGAGTTAAGCTGCCAAGACTAAAATGGAAAATGAGGGCTAATGACTGGGATAAAATTCAGCCAGTCTTGCCTGAGTACTTATCAGCCACAGAATTAGGGAACTGAGAGGGACCTTGGAGATTTTATGGGAAAGTCCCCAATGCTCTAAGCAGTGAAGAGCCATCCGATGGGACATATGGAGAGTTTCAGGGATGAGGACTCCATGGCTTTTTGTTTTTGTATTTGTAATGAGTGGATGGGTAGGGATCCCACATAATCAGTTGGGCACTGGTCTTCCCACAAGACCTCCATTTAGGCCAGGACTTAGTAAACTATAGTTCATAGGCCAAATTGGGCCTGCCACCTGCTTTTGGAAATAAAGTTTTATTGTAACACAGCCCCATTCATTTCTGTGCTATCTATGGCTACTTTAGCACTGTGGTGCTGGCCTGGTTAAATAGTCACAACAGAGAACATACTGCCTACAAAGTCTAAAATATCTACTATCTTTCTGACCCTCTACAGAAAAAGTTTGTTGACCTCTGCTCTAGACAACAAAGCTTGACAAGGTCTTTGACAACCATAAACCAAAAGGAACACAGCATTTGATTTGTTGTTGGTCTTCTGTAAGGAGAGATGGGAGATAATAAATCCAGCTTGGTTACCTTGGTCTTACACCCTCTGGCACCTGGCATGGAGTTTGGCACGTTCAAATCATTGAAGAATGTTTATGAAACAACTTTCAAAACGTCGTTTAGTCTTAGTAAATGCTCTCACGTTGACTTTCTATCTGAGAATTGTACAGGGAGCACAAAGCTTCTACACACTTGCCTCAGGTGGTACGTGTCTATAAGGAAGGCCTGAGGGCATTGCCATCAGCGTATCAAAGGGTTTCATTACACCAAACATGCAGCTGGGTTCTCTGCCCTCTGTCATCACTGGTGGCATTTCCCCAACTGTATTCCTAATTAATGATTTCAATGGAGCCCCTGTTTTAGATTATAATCTTTTAATATTTTTTTAGCTTGATCTGATCATTTTATACTTACTACCTCTCTTAGGCTTGTTCTAAACAACATGATTCATGGAAGAGGGAGGGTTGATTTGACACTTTTGTGCATTGTTTTAAATCTACATTAATAAAAACATAGAATGATTTCATGTGATTCATAGCTTTGTCTGGGTGCCATCTAAAATCGTCTTACACATTGTCAATGGGTAAGATGACACATAAACTTCACTCACTGTCAAGGCTCTCAAGACCAGCTATGTACAGGTCTTAACCACCTGATCCAGCCTCCTATTCATCTTCTACAGTAATTGGAATATTCAGTTGCTCAATTAATATTTGTGGAACAATTAAATGGTTTCATAAACCCTCCTGTTCTGAATACACTAATTTATTTACCACTTTCCAAAACATTCCTTCTTTTCCAATACTTTGCCTCTTTGGATATGTTCTTCTGACTCTTGGAAAGTTCTCTCACCTCTCCTCCACCTTTCCAACTTTGCTCCCTCCCTGTGAAATTCTCCCTTCCTCACCTCTCCTCCTGCAAGTTCACTCCCCTCTGAGTCATTTGAGCACTCACTCCCTATATCTCTCCTTTGACCCTCATCATTTACAACCTTGTGTTTCACTTGTCTTTCTATTAATGGATCTTCCAAAACAGATCGCCATCATACTGGTGACTGTCACCTATACTCACTTCCTTCTGTGTCTCTGTCCTACCATGATGCCTTAAGCAGAGGCAATGCTTTAAACACATATTGATTAGGTGATGATTCTGGGAACCAGATGAAACTGAGTTATGGGCGTGGCACATATGCTAATATATCACTGACCTCTTGGGTAAGAAAAATAGCTTGGGAGTTGTCCATCCACCATAAAAATCAGAAACTTGACTCTCCTTGAACAGGGAACATGAGAAGACTAAACATGGGGGAGTGAGATGATTGCTCCATGAATGAGAAAAGGGTAGAATAAAACCACACTGTGGAGGGAGGAAGGGAGGGATTACAAAGGCAAACAAGGAACTTCTGATGGTAATGGCTATGTTCACTATCTTGATTGTGGTGATGGTTTCAATGGATGATTTCATATGTCAAAACCTATCAAATTGTATGCTTTAAATATGTGTGACTTTATGTGTGTCAATTGTACCTTAATAAAGCTGTTTAAAAAAAATAAGTTCACTGTGGAGTTCTGTGCATGTGCAAGTGCAGTAAGTAATAGATGGAGGAGTTATATTTCCAGGCAAGAAAACTGAATTTGTTGTCAAAATCACATGCCAGGTACTTTGCAAAAGCATGGTCTTATTTGGTTCTTGCAATGACCTGATACTGTAGGCATTGATCCTCTGTTCATTTTACACCAGAAGAAATCGGCTTTGATTTGAGAACTGACTTCTCCATATACAAGGAGAGGATAAAGCTGTGCTAGGAATTGAGGGCACATTTTCCCACTTCAGAGGTAGCATTTGTTTTCCCCAAATCAGTTAGATTTGGAGGGTTTTTGGCCTTTATTTCCTAGGGAGCTTCACTGAGAAGACTAACAGGGTTAGAAGAGAGACAATAGCAGGGCAAAATTCGTCCTCAGGCTGCCCATTTCCAGCCGAAGACAGCAGAGGTGTGGGCAGTTGGGTTGCCCATATGTTACTGGCCTCTGCTCTCAGGTAACAACCAGCACAGTGAACTCCACACTATGGTCTGGATCATCCAAATCCCATAAGAGAAGTGAGAACTGGAAATGGTTCTGTTTTCCCAGGGAACAAAAGCAACATTTTTCCGCCCATGCCCTGAGCCAGATACTGAGGGCTGACAGTGCTGAGGAGTGTGAAGGAGGGTTCCCACAGGAGGAGGCTGCTCATTTTTGACTCACCTTCAAAAGAAGCTGTAATCTCAGCTTGCCACTTACATTAGACATATGTTACCAAGTAGAAATGTTGGCAGTCAACTAAACTGTAAAGGCAAGTACTACTTTATAGACTGAACACCCACTCACCATTTACTCCAGTCCTGGAACCTGAAGTAACTCATTAACAGCCGCTAAAGTCTGTCCAGCACTTCATGGCAATGGGAGCCCTTTTTTATCAGTAACTTCTTTTGAACACTGTGTTATATAGATTTTATTAGCTCCATTTTACAGATAAGGAAATTGAAGCTCAGAGAAATAAAGCTAATTATCTGCAACCACAAAGCTAATCAGCTTTCGAAATTCCAAATCTTGAGCTATTTCTTCCACTGCCTTTCTGCTTTTCAATAACATCTGGCAAACATCAATTAAAAAAAAAAACAACCTCTCTATACCAGGTTAATGATCATAAAAGTGTAACTGATGAATATTAAAGAATTCATTTCTTTGGACTCACAGCCTCTACTATAACTATATACTTGGTAAAAGTTTTTTTTTTTATTTTGCCCATTTGCATCATATTAAGTGAAGGATTAACTTGATCATTCATTGAATTTAGTTACTGAATTTAAAGATACGGGGTAGGAAACACACTTTCCTCACCAATAATTTAGTTTGTGCATTGCTCTTCAAAAAGACGGAAATGATAAGCTGTACTATTAAGAGTTTATGCACATTTCCTATAAGCAGTGTTTCAGGGAGGTACGTGGCACATAAAACCCAACACAACTTTAGGAAGAATCTCTAAAATATGTTTCCATCCTGTATGGACATTTCTTAAACAAGGCCACAAAACGGAAACTCATCCAAAGTTTGAACAAAATCCAAATGATTTGTGTTTTGCCAGATCAACTTGCTGGGTATTCTTTTTTATCGTTTCATTCTGAGCAGAGTTGATAAATATTGTAGTCAATTGACAGCCAAAATGGAAATCGAGGCCTGTCTGGAAAAGGGCAGACGAAGATACTGCAGCAGACCAACATTAATTCTTTACATTGCATGGTGTCTAAATTAAAATTTTAAAAAGACCCAATTATGATGTCAAAATGACAGACATTTTGTGACTTTGGATTAAAGAGTTTTTTGAGTGTCTTTTGAGGTTCTGAAGTGGCCATATAAATGACACAGACCAAGCATGCTTTGATTTTGTGCATCTTTGTATACGTACACCCTTAAATAGATACACACACTCTTATATACATACACATACCCTGATCCAGGTATGTCATTCCCAGGCATTATAAATTTACTCTTTAAAAAAAAAGCCAAGACAAATTTCATCAGCGAAAATATAAACTAACCTTCATTCTTGAAACTCCTAATGATGTTGGCAGAGGGCATGGAGGTCCTATCTGTTGCAAATTTGTTGTAGAGTTCCAACATGTACTCTGGTGGATCAACCTTGGCTGAATCCTGCATGGGGATGTCAGACAGGTTCAATGTCTTCAGAAACTCATCCTTCATGCTCTGCAGCAGGGTGTCAAAGTCAACACCATCTTGCTCTGAGAAGACATCGTCAAAGAGGGGCATATCTTCTTCCAGAGGCGACTGCTCAAGGCTCATGATGGGGCTGCCAGAAACCAAGTGAGCCACCAGGCAGAGAAGAGCGCACAGCCGCCCGACTGGGAAACCCATGACTCCGCTCGAGCCCCCAGGCCAACCCAGGAAGATCTAGCTCTCCTGGGCTCTAAGTGGCAGTTTTATCTTGCAGAGCGTAAATGTCTCCTGTCACTGGAGACAAGTTTGGAAACTCTTTCTCTCTCTCCCTCCCCTTACTCACTCTTCCTCTCCCCCCAAAAGTCAGGTTGCAGTAATTGGATAACAAAATCCCCTATAGGGGCCTAGCCTTTCTTATCTCCCTAGTGTAAACTTGTGCACCAGATTTTGTTTCTATCTTGCAATTCCTATTTCTTTTAATGAGCATTTTGTAAACATTTCCACATTCTGACACTGCTTGAGAGATAGGAACAATTTTCTCCTTGCAAAGACTCTGCTTCCCTCCCTTTTAATTCACTTCCTTTCAGCAGGAATGCCCAAACTCCGCTTTTATGGGGTTCAGTTTCACACATGAACATAATAGGTGTTAAGAATCAACATAATATATGCCAGTGGTGACACATAGTAATGTGAGTGATAGGGCTTATATCCGTAAATAAGCGTTTTGGAAACAAACAAAATTTTCCAACAACTCCAAGTTAATAGATATAAATTAGTTTCCAGAAATTTTTAGAAGGGTACATTTTTAGAAACAGGAAAATACAAACATCATGATCAATAGCCTTTTTCCTACAGATTCGATCTGCCTAAAATGGCTTTGGAGAAATAGGGCAAGTGCTTAATTATAATGGCTACTAAGATATATTAGGTGCTTCCTACAAACAGGCATTATATTGTTTTCACAGATTAATGGGCTCCTATAATAACCCTATTATTTTCGCCATCACACCTACAGATCACTGAGTTTCCAAAGTTTGCTGGAGATCACAAAGCCACAAAGTGATGAAGCCAAATTTGAATTGAGGCAGTCAGACTCTTATTAAAAAAAAAAACCATCACACAGCTTGGCACCCATAACTCTGTGGTTAGGGCACAGGGCTGGCAGGTATGAACCCAGCCTAGGCCTGCTGAACAATAATGACAACAACAACAACAAAAATAGCCAGGCACTGTGGAAGCTCCTATAGTCCCAGCTACTTGGGAGGCTGAGGCAAGAGAATTGATTAAGTCCAAGAGTTTGAGGTTGCTGTGAGCTATGACCCTACAGTACTTTACCGAGGGTGACATAGTGAGACTCTGTCTTTTAAAAAAAAATCACATGTTTAAACAACTTTTCTTCAGGACTAGGGCATGTACCACGAGGCTGAAAGGCTTTATTCAGAGGCAGGAAGACAGTATTTTGCAGCTAGATGTAGACCTCAGGGTTTTTACCTGTGTAATGAACTGTTAACATGACCAAGATCTCTGTCAAATTCACCTCTATAACTAAATCAGATTGGTCATTGAGAGTCTTCAGCAAAAGCTCAGCCACAAACATTACTAAGCAGGTAAAAAATGCTGAATGTCTGAAAAAGAATGGTAGAATTGATTATATCAGTTCAGGAAAGACAAATCAGGTTCATCACATTTCCCACCCTAATTAGTGTCAGTTGTAGCTCTGATGGGGCCAGTATGACCCGGGACATGTTTTTCCCTCTGAGGCGGTGGTACTGATAATTCTCTGACTTGGTCAGAAATTACTCAGGCATCCTGGCACTGTTCAGAGGGCTGTATGGAGATATTTGCTACACTAGAATACTCTTTTAGTTTCTAAGTAAAATTTTCCTTCATTCATCCTGATTGGTTAGCTACAAGATGTCCACTTAGCCTTCTCCACCAGGCTTCCCAAGGTTTCTAAACATCTCTTGATTCTTTCTTCTCTTTAAATATAAGACTTCAAAGCAATTTTTTTTATTTACCATGGAAAGAATTATATTTTGTTTAGTATTTGTTCATTGTCCATTTATTTAGTAGTTGTTGATTTCAGTGCAATGTTCTGATTTGATTCAAGTTTCTGCTGCTATAGTTAGAAGATCCTTGTAGACTGGTCATAGATTATACCCTGGGCAAGTCCACTAGTGAGCGAGTGGGCCCTGCCATTCTTCAGGTGGTACATTGTAACCTGAGGTCTCTGACAGCAGAGCTGCAAGGCCTGCGTCCTCACACACCTGTTTATCCTCACACACACACGGATGTCAGCGCACACTCCAGAACTCTGAATGGCAGGCATGTGTGCGTAACTGCCACAGGACAGCAGGGTAAGAGGGAGTACTTATAACCCCTGAGCGCACTGGCTTCAGGGGTCAGGAGCAGAGACAGGCAGCCCACGCCGCATTCCAGTTCTCTGCATTCTCAGGCATAAAAACATGGAACTGAGACTTTAATGGCCTCTCTATCCTTGGTAATAGAGAAACTATGGGGTTAAATATCTAGACTTGCTTCTCCATCAAAATGTTTATATATTTGGCTGACCAATAGATAGCATAGGAAAGTGACTATACCCATTTCTCAGGGCCTACAACATCTCAAAACGTGTACTTAGTAAAAGTGTTCAAACTCCACACCTGGGATGCCTCACATTTTAGCTGCAGGGTCTCTTTACTTTTTTTATTTCAAAACTTTAAGGGGGTACAAATGTTTTTACTACAAGGCTTGAGTCAGGCTGTCAGTGTGCTCATCATCCTAATAGTGTTCACTGTACTTGTTAAGTGAGGTTTCGCCCCTCCCCTTCTCCTCCTGCCCCCTGCTTGATTTCCAGTGACTTTTATATCCCACATGTGTGCCCATCAGTTAGTTCCAATTTATTAAAGAGTACCTGTGGTGTTTGTTTTTCAATTCTTAAGATACTTTGCTCGGGAGGGGGGAATGGGTGGAGGGAGGGAGATTCGAGGGTTCACTTCTGTGGTTCATCTTACAAGGGTACAAGTGAATCTTTCTATGAGTAGAATATGAACAT